ACGTGAGAAATCTTGTTTACATTAATTAAGTAGTTCGATTTGTTTAAGAAGATCATATTTCACGCTGAACAATAAACAATAAGGTGTGAATGTCAAAAACAAGCGGAAAATGGAAGATGTACATAAAGCAAACAAGTTGTGTGTCACTCGATCTAAATTCGTTAGAAAATTCAATGTGATGGAGTGTGTTTACACTACCAGCTGAGTAATTAAGTTCTTCAGCACCTGAATAATGGATAAAAATAATATTCTAATAAGTCAATTTCTTACGTACTAGTAAAAGACGTATATTAAGAATGTAATTATGAGGTAAAGGGTGATGCATTGCGAGGTTCTCTACTTTTTTAAAGAAAAAACACAGAAATTTCAAATTTAATAGTTAATGTTTGTTATCTTTCGAAAGAACATTCTTAGGCATTTACTTCTTTCAGGGGCGGATCACCGGGAAGGGGGTGGCTGGTGTGTTGATAATGAGGGAGAGTTCCCCCAAAAAAGTAAAAAGTTTGCAACGAAGCTTTTTGGTACCCCTGCTTCTCGCCGTGCCCAGGGTTCGTTACAATGAATTTGTAAATGCTGGGGCTCTTCTGCGAATCGTACTTTATTTTATTTAACTTATATATTTTAGTTAAAGTTACAAAATTGTCTCCTGCGTTTTACTGCCGTCGCCCGAGGAGAGTGCTGTCAGGGTAACGGTTCCGTGTGGTCCGTTAGGGCAATACCGTTTCCCGCTCTGCTGTGCTCCTGGGTGCTAAAAGACTTGCTGTTCTGTACCACGACAATTACGCTCGGCTACTTCTACCGGCGCTCGCGTGGACTTCGCTGACGATATCCTGCGACGTGCGTTGACGCTCCCGTGCACTCGTGCAGGTTTTCAATGACGGTGTCCTGGCGGTGTTGATGCTCCTCCGCTATGGCGACTGCGCCCGGCTATCTCTGCCGGCGCTCCTGTATGCTTTGATGACGATGTCCTAGCGTATACGTTGACGCTCGCGTGCTACGACGACTACGCCTGGCTACTTCTGCCGGTGCTACGTGTAGGCTTCAATGACGCTGTCCACGTTGCACTCGCGCGCTACTCTGGTGATGTCCTGTTCGACCACCTTTGCCGCATAAAGATACCGGATCACGGAAGACTGTGTCAGCGATCGCGATGTTAAAGGTTGAGTTGGTCAGAGGATAAACTCACTACCAAGTTCACCCTTAACAGATRGCGTTTACAAGTCAGAGTACCAAGACTAGCTAGAGAATAAACTCACTGCGTACTCTGATGCTGAACATGTATACGCTGCCACAGTCCCGTCCTGACTGCCTGATCATCGGCCATCTAACTCCCCACCAAGCATGTGCTGCATGCTAACACATTAGCAACATGTTGCTTTGGGATGGCGTGTGTTGCTGGGATGGCGTATGTTGCTGGCAGTGGCGTGATTTTACCGCTGCGTATGCATGCTTGTTGTTGTTTCGTCTGCTTGTCTGATTTCTTCGTCTCCGTGGTTATCCAGCTGTATTGCTTGCGTGGCGTTGTTTTCCCATTGTGTTGTGAACAATAGGGTGGGCCTTTATGGGTTGTGTAAATTCTATATAGATATTTAGTTCCCACAAGTTATACATTATTTCCACTGAGCCACAAATGTCATAAATAACCAATAGCATTTTCATCTTATTTTCAAGTTTTTTAAATTTATTTCTTGCGCAACCAATGCAGTATGAGATGGTGCAAATTCAGACATAGTAACATTTCAAGAATTCACTTTTAATTTACAGCAAAAAATTGGAAAACACCTAAAGTATATATTAAAAATTCACCTTTCAATTTGATCACAGTAGTAACAGTATTGAAAAAAACAACCAAGAGGAGATTTCACTTTCGGGAACTGCGTTAGGACGCGTTGGTTTTGAAAGACATGATTGCAATAGGCACTGATGGTTGTATTGTTATGTTGGGAGATCGTGGAGCTGTAAAGGAAATACAAAAAGGTACCATGTTTTTCAGAGAATTGACAACATATTTCCAAGTTTCAAGACCGAAACGTAACACTGTTTTAGCTCAACCCTTGGGCAGAAAAAATGTGCAGCTTTGTGAGACAAGGTAGGTACAACGACATGATGCCGTTCATCAATTCACAGTCATCCTTCCAGAAATCGTTCAAGTATAGACAAAAATAAGCGAATGCAAGAATAGAACGACTGCTGTAGAAGCGTCGAACTTAGTCACAGTACTGCGCAACTTCGAATTTATTATTGGAATTTTTTGTCTCAGTGATGTTTTGTCACTGACGTAGCCATTTAGCGTGATTCTGCAGAACGAATCAATCGACCTTACGAAAGCATCAATAACGTCACAGCAACATTGGGTGCAACACTGAACACGCGAAGAATAAATGCTGATCATCACCTTAATGCAAATTTTTCAAGTGCTACACAGATAGTTGCAAAATTAGATGTTGAAGTGGAAAACTCCATAACACTCAAAGCTGGGTTTCTGCATACATTCCATTCATTGACACGGTCATGCAAGATTTTAAAACGCGGTTTTTCGATGAAGTTCTTGAAAGTTTCAATTTGAGTCAGCTGTTTCACGTACTTTGCACTTTGCCAGCCACAAATTCTAGCGCTGAAAGATCCGTTTTTCTTTGCACCGAATAAAGCCTTGCCTCAGAACAAGGATGCTCCAGAAAAGATTGACCGGCTAAGCACTCCTCAACATAAACTACAAAATTCCTGTTGAACCAGAGTAAGTAGTAGAATAATTTAGTAAAATTTAGCAAACTCCTTATTGATTTTATGCTGTAAATTAAATGTTAAAATATGTATAAAAAATAAAATTATATATATTCTTAAATCAGTTACAAAATCATAAATGTCTACCTCTTTATAATTCTACTCTGGTTCCGCCCCTGACTCTTTCAAATGTTGGCCGTGGCTCAACGTGTCAAATGATCCATTCGTTGAGTAATATTTTCGATGACTTGTTTGAACGTTTGCTCCAAATAGCTGCTATTGAATCTCTTCAGGTTGGTCTTCGTCATAAATGCGACAGTTGTAATTGTTTTCATACACATTAAGCAGAAATGGGCCTCAGTGCTGAATAAAATTGGGTTCGAGATCGTCGGATTTGGACGGATTTCCACGTTATTTGAGCGAAGCGCATGAAATACATTTTTTACAGATCGTGAATTTTCGTAGTAAAGTTGAACGATTTATAAAAGTTATTCAGGCGTAAGTCTTTCCATGATGCAATGTCAAACAATACTGAAAAAAATAACATGACAGCTTGACACATCTGTCAAACAAAAAAAAAAAAAAAAAAAAAAATCAAGCTATTGAAAGAAGTAACTCTACGGGGTCACCCCTTACTACTAAAAAATAATAATTATTCATTGAGTGATTGCATTTTTAAGGTTATGTTAGCAATGTCTAATATGAATGTTATAAGCGCTGTTATTAGAAAATTTACGACCATTCTGATCAGTCATCCACTTGTGGTCAAAGAAATTTCTGCATAAATTAAATGGTATTTACCCATATTTTTCAAATCCAATTCATGGGTTGGTTACCTTTGCAGTTTACATGGCGCTCCATAAATGACCCGAGGCAGCTTTAAATTTGAATAAATTTGAATTCATTATAGTTATAGACAACAGTGGGTACTAGATAAAAGCGTCCTCAAGTAAATTTCTGGAAATGGAATGGTTGATGGTGGGTACGTTGAACTGTTTATTTCTCTAGATTGTAAAGGTAAGCAAAAAACAAAAAACGAACGTTAACTTCGGTTGCACCGAAGCTAAATATCCTTCACAGGTGCATTTCTGTTAGTAATTATGTGCTCAGTTTGTATGGAAGCTATWTGCTATAGTAAGCCGATCTGAACAATTTCTTCGGACATTAAATTGTTGCCTTACGAAATATTCTATTCCAAATTTCGTGAATATATCTTGTAAAATCTGAAAGTTTTCCATACAAGAACTTGATTCCGATAGTTCAGTTTGTATGGTAGCTATACGATGTAGTGGTCCGATATCGACAGTTCCGACAAGTGAGTAGCTTCTTGAATAGAAAATGACGTTTGTAAAACTTCCAAACGACATCTTAAAAACTGCGGGACAGCTCGTATATATACAGACAGACTGACAGACTGACAGACCGACAGACAGACGGACATGGTTAAATCGACTCAGCTCAACATACTGATCATTTATATATATACTTTATAGGGTCTCCGACCCTTCCTTCTGGGTGTTACAAACTTCGTGACAAACTTAATATACCCTGCTCAGGGTATAAAAATGAAGTGTTCTCTTGCGTCTAGTTTTAATTTTTTGTAACTGAGAAAATATCTTACTTGCTTAGTTTGATAGAATAAGTTCTGGTGGTCAAAGATAATAAAAGTACTCGTGAAATAGATAATATTGTCAGGGCTAATCATCACTCTGGAAATTCGTTTTCATGTGAAAGATGGATTACATAAATTCGTTGGGATGAACTAGCCACTCCAATGATCGGTAATAATACCGATAACGAATATGTTTTCTCTTACTGAGTTTTTAAAACATGTAAACCATTATTGAGAAGTCATAAAAATTAGGAGTTACATAAAACGCGAGTTCACTGTCTCTAAGTAATTGCTGGCGTCTGCTGGTCCAGCTAAGCCAATCTATGTAAATATAATAAAAACACTAAAATACACATAAAGAGAATCACCGTGACGTTATCTGTTAGCGGTGCTCTTACTCTTCTGTCAGCGCGCTTCAGTTAGCTCCGAAATGCCAAGCGGCGAGCGTTAACGTTAGATAAACGAGACGATCACAGAAGAAGCGACGCAACACGCTGCGCAGACGCATTAAATAAAGATAAACAGTAAATAACAAATATATAAAAGTAAATCAATAAAGCTGCAACAAAAGCAATATTATAAAAAAAATCGTACGCTTAAAGACGTCGAGAGTTCCAAGAGCAAAGTTTAAATAAAATATACTTTTCATTCTATAAGCTTTCAACCAATGAGTGCCAATACGCAAACGATACAACTAGTCGTATTATTTGTTGTTGTGCTGTACAGCGCGCTACTACCACGAACGGGAAGCGTAAAAAGTCAAATTAGTAGCTATGCAGACACAGCTGGTGAATGGTCGTTGGACTTGAAGAAGTCGTTAGTGAAGTTCGGCGCACGCGCGGCTGGCAAAAGCAACTCGGAAGCGCCACCATATAAGCTAACGTCGCAACAAATGGAAGACTACGAGGCAATAATGAGTGCTGGCGAGGATATGCCTAGCGATTCAGTCGCATATCGCAATCGCACAAAAGGCCAAATGGGCGACGAGTATGTGCCGGAAGATACGCGAAGCTTTCTCTGTCTGCCGATCATGCGTATTTTCACTGTGGATGTGCGTCGCGTTGTGATTGCAGGGGAGCGCGTTGCTGTGGTTGGTGATCATGCGCGGCTGGGCGCATGGCAGGTGGAACGAGCTGTGGTGATGACGCCAAGCGGTCGCGACAACGGCGTCTGGTCAGCTAAAGTGGCAATTTGCGCCAACGCGCGTATACACTATCGCTACTTTATCTTCAGCGTCGATAGGTACGGCAGGCGACGGGTGCACGAATGGGAGGGTGTACCGTATGGCCGCGTGTTGGAGCAATACCAGATGTATCGGCCACCTGGGAAGGATCAGTTTGGTTTGCTGTCACACATGACCGTGGGTGATGTGGAGCACGAAAAAGGTTGGCTGCGCCATGAGTATGCCATCGAATTTAAGTTCATTTGGGATCAGCATATGAAGTTTTACCCTTATATGCACTTGAATCGGGCCACGAAATTTCTGCTGAAGATGAGCGTTTCACAAAATGGTTTTGAGTTGTCGCCCAGCGCTTGGCGCGACACCGAACTGGAGGTGTCACACTACGCTTATAATCGCTCGCAGTTTAAACCGCAAACTGAGCGGGGCGTACCCTACATAGCGGGCGATGTTGTCATATTTCGCTTCACAGCCGCGCTGAACACCAAACACTCATATCAGCTGAGCGTTTTTACGGCGGATGGTGATCGCGTGGGCGAAGCACTAATTCTGTCTCTAGATTTGCGGGGCGGGGAGGGCGTGCTGACCCTGCCTATACAAGGCGCTGTGAATGGCTTTCAAGTTGGTGCGCTGACGTTGCCCTACGTGATTATACGCCCTTTGGTTGACGCCGCAGATTATAACTTGCGCGGCAGTTTTCAGCGCTACTGGCCCATGAATTGGCCATCGGTGGATATAGGGCATCGCGGCATAGGCGCCAGCTACAACGCGGATGCACCATTGATGGAAAATACTTTAGCCAGTTTTTTGTACGCGCACAGATTCAAAGCAGAAATGGTGGAGTTGGATGTACAGCTGACGCGCGACTATGTGCCGATAGTCTGGCATGATTTCGGTTTCAAAACCGCCCCAAAAGGGCGCTTTGTGGAGAGCGTAGAGGACTTGGATTATGTGCTAATTAAGGACCTAACCTATGAGCAACTGAAAAGCCGTCGCGTATTTGCTGTTGAGGATGGCGACATCTATGAATACACGAACTACAACGCGCGCAATGCTTCGGAGATGGAGCGTTTATTTGTTACGCTGCGTGAAATATTCCAAATATTGCCCTCAACACTCGGCCTGGATATAGAAATTAAATGGCCGCAGCCTTTAGTGAGCGGCGCATTGGAGGCAGCGCAAACGCTGCGGAAAAATCGCTTCGTCGACACCATTTTGAAAACGACCGGTATATATGGTTGCGGTCGTCCCTTATTCTTCTCCAGTTTCGATGCAGACATCTGCACTATGTTGCGCCTGAAACAGAATGTCTTTCCCGTAGCTTTCGTAACAATTGGTGAAACGCGCTTGTGGGAACCCTTTAAGGATTTGCGCACGCGCAGCTATCTGAGCGCCGTGAATTTTGCACAATCAGCAAATCTGTTGGGTACCGTGCCGCATGCGGAAGACTTTCTGCAGCACGGTGCGCTGCTTGACTTCGGTTTGGACTTGGGTCAGGCGACATTTGTATGGGGCGATGAGCTCCAAGATGCACGCATTGTTGAGCAATTCAAACGTTGGCATGTGTCCGGCGTAATTTATGACCGCATCGATTTGTACGGCCCGCGGCGCAAGCGCGAGCGCTTCTTCAGCGCACCAGAGTTACTCGACATATTCACGCGTCAGTGCATTGTTGTTGGACATTCCAACTGCAGCAGTGAGTTCGCGCTGCCGGATGGCTTCGATTTACATGGAAAACCGGTGAGTCGACTTGGCTGTGAGGTGATTGTGCAGCAGATCGGCTGAAAATCACACACGTATATTTATAGTAACTGTATTTGTAGCTAACGGAATTTTTAATCTAATTATTTATGTAAATAGTAATAAGGAACCGATCATTTTCGTGAATGTTATGAAAAGTGTTGTTAAAATCGGAAAATAAAAGTAAATTAAATTAATTGGTGCTTTTTAGATACTGATACCTCGTAGTATGCTGTATCTCGATCTAAGCAATTGAAAAACTATTCAAAAATATAGTCCCGAAGTTTCATTGGTTTACTCCGAATATTTCGAAGAAATACGCTGCATACTTTTATTTTTACTTTTTTCGATTCAGATAACAGGCTTAGTCAGGAAGTTGGCGGCCGCAAAATTGTCAATCACCGGGATCGTTGCTGATTCCGCAGTTTTGCCTTTTCCACATAAAATTATTTTTGTTTTGTGGTCCAATAATACCGCTTAATATATATGCGAAAAAATCGTATGTAATCAGTTTTTATTCTCTCATATTAAAAATGGCAAAAATTACCTTTTTTGATGGTACTAGAAGTAATCCCCTTAACTTTGTTGTTCAGTTATTCATAAAAGGTTCAGAAAAACTTCAGTACTATTTTTTTGGTGTTCTAAGAGTTCCTAATGGCAAAAGTGCATTTTGGTTTTTTATTTAATGATGAAATAAAAACATTAAGCTGAAACTTATTTCAAGTTTTATTTTTTAAAGTTATTTTACCTAAAAACTTGCTGTACGTATTTTATTCATAAACATTAGATAACATAGCCGAATGGTATAATCAGCTGAGGGAGTCGTTGTGCCTAAAGTAACTAAGTCGTGGAGTTGAATAAAAGCTTATTCTATTATACGAGTATTTCTAATTTCGTTCGTAGAAGAGAATTACTACAAAAATAAATATTTTTCTTTAGATGAATATTTTTTTTCTAATTAAGACTCTCAAATTGCAAATTGTCAATATCAATAAAATAATGAAAACCGTGGAATCCGACCGTCATTTAAGTACTATTTCGATTTCCTAAGAGCTAAGCTTAGCAAGAACCTTGTTTGGAACCAATTAAATAAAGATGGATAGAATATGTCAAGTTTTGCTCATAGTCCAATTCTATTTGCGAGTCTCTGCTGAATCAAAAACATCGATCCATTTCTGAAGCCAATGATTAGTGGTGAGGAAAAGTGGGTTCCTTACGAAAACGGTTGTGATGGAAGTGCGGTGAGCCCGTGTAAACGGTGCTCGAGACAGAATTGAACGTTGGGAAACTATGTGTTTGGTGGAATTAGTTGGGAATCATTTATTAGTAGCTGCTCTCCTCAAACATCGGACCAGTACTGTCAACGTATCAATAGTGCTTCGGACTTCGTGTTAAGTGATTACCTACCCCTTCCTGTTTGTAACAATCGTGTTTTTCAATAGCGGCGAGGATTTCCAAGATAGTATTATTACGAAATTACCTTAAAAATATAAATATTTTTTTTTTTACCTAAAAGTAGTGTTTAAACAAGACACAAAAACATAAATTTGAAAATGATCCGGTCATAGTTGTAAAAATGTTTTATCGGTATGTTTAGGGTACTAATATAATATTGCGTAGCTTTCTTACAACGTAAATCTTCTCTTGAGACACAATTAATTTAAAAATTACTTTTAAATTCCATAAAAAGGCATTTATTCCTCATTTGAAAGTACTAAAATTGTCAAAGTCAGCATTAAGTTGTGAATGTTGTCCTTTTCAAGCTGAACAATTCTATTTCCGTTGCAGTTACTTACTTAGCACTTACTTGCCGTTTGGTTCATTAACTTCCTTTGTTGCGGCTCATTAAAAAGTCAACACATAACATTTTAACGGTAATACGGCAACACCGAAATAACCGGATTAATTCGCAACAACAATTCGTACAAGTAAAATGTCTTCCGTTAAAAATAATCGGTTGCCATTGGCATTACTACGTACTTCAGAGCAAACACACACCCACATCCAAGCACATTCCACCCTCATACATATGCACATAAACATATAGAAGAGAGAATTGTTTAACAAACACATTAAAGACGCACACGACATGGCGATACGATACCGCATTGACGTGCGTTGCCAAGTTGTGGGAGGAAAGGACCTCAGCCACCAGCTGCTGAAGTATTTAAGCAAAGCAAACATTGTGTATCTGTGTGTGTGTAGAGCACTGTAGTGCCTAATGGGTTTTCCGAAAATGTGTTTACTGGTACATTACAGCTTGAGCTGTGCAATTAAGCGATTTTTTGCCCCTTATGTAATGTGCTTGTAAACTTCATTTATAATCGTATGACTTGGTAAAGATTACATATACACCAAAATTTTAATAAATGAAGCAATTAATATTAAACTCTGGAATTGTTTAATTAATTGAATGCCGACAATGGAATATTAAGCAGAAGATTTATTTTAGCATTAAGCAAAAGAAATTATCTTACGATTTTTCGTTAAATTGACGGGTTGCGTCACTCTATAATACTTTCACATTCCTTTATTGGCTGAAAAGGTTCTTCAAAGCTTTAGAATATAATATAATTAAATTGAGGTGAGCATTATTATGTCCTCTCCCATTCCTCCAGAACTTTTTTTCTGCTGGGTCTACAGTTTGCTAGGCGCTAGTGAGGCTACATACTCCTTACTCGAATATGTGGGTACAAGCCTCATTGCTGCGTCTGCGGATCGCTATGCAATCCAGAAGCAGGTGCAGGGAGTTTCCGGCTCCACGTCGTAGAACCGACAATTTGCGTCTACGTTAAATATAACTTGCCGCTAAAATACTGAGTTTTCTCTGCAAAGGTTTATAATTTGTTCGAACCTTTAAAGCATATAGTCTCCCACTAACTACTTGGCTTGTGCAACCCGGATTAGAAAGACGGAAAAAGGTGAAATTTTATTGGAACTTAAGAACTCGCAAATGGAAAGCACTGCTGACTACACCAAGCGAAATAGGCAAAGTGCTTGGAGAGCAAGCCAAAATTAAAGCCCTAAAAAGTAGAGGATGGCGTCATGTGTAGAAGTTCATGCAAGTGAGGAAGTTCTTTAATCCCCATTCACTTGGGAGTGGCCAAAAACGATTCTTTTACATATGGCTCAAGCAGCTCACGACTTACGGTCTTTGACCAAGTATCCTCTGGGTAGCCTAAGAACATCCGTTTGAAGGTCCAAGAAATGCGATGGACGGGACAAGGACTGAGACGAGTAGGCTCTTGTGGCATTTACGACAGTGGCCGTATAAAGGTGCGCAAGTTTGGTGTGGAATTCGTTGTGGGAGGGAGACTCCTTCGTCGAGTACTGTCATTCACCCCGTGGAATGGGAACTGTGGGACGTCATTTCAAACTCTTTACGTACAGCCGCAACCGAAACCATTGGTTTTCGGAAAGTGCAAAAGAACAGTTGGTACGACGAACAGGGTCGTGTCGCAGCGGAGAGAAAACAGACTGCCTACCTCGCTACGTTACGATCGACCACAACACGTGCGGGATGGGATAGATACCGAGAGTTGAAGAGGGAAGCGAGACGCATTTGCAGACAGAAAAAGAAAGAGACCGAAATGCGTGAGTTCGAAGAACTTGATAAACTGGCCGACAGGGGTAATGCTCGAAAATTCTACGAAAAAATGCGGCAGTTTACAGAAGGTTTCAAGACCGAAGCATACTCTTGTAGAACCCCCAAAGGTGATTTAGTCATCGATGCCCAGAGCATACTTAAATTATTTAGGGAACACTTCTCTAGCTGGCTGAATGGCAGTGAGCGTACAACGCCAGGAGAAGGCGAACCCGATTCCCCAATCGATGGCGATGGACCAGGAAGAACTTCGAATAGGAATTACCCGCCTGAAGAACAACAAAGCTCGAGCGCCGTGGATTGCCGGCGGCGAAGAATTGATAAGGAGCATGCATCAGCTTCTTTGTAAAATATGGTCGTACCAAAGCATGGAAAGCACAAAACAGGAGACCCCACAATCTGCGCCAATTACCGTGGGATAGGCCTCCTCAACAGCGCGTGAAAGATTAAAGCCCACCGTCAACAAACTGATTGGCCCTTATCAGTGTATCTGTAGACCTGGAAAATCAACAACCGACCAGATATTCACCATGCGCCATATTTCGGAAATGACCCGTTAAAGGAGAATCGACAGACACCACCTACGTCGATTTCAAAGCTGTTTTCGACAGCACGAAAAGGAGCTGCCTTTATGCCACGATGTCTGAATTTGGTATCTCTGCAAAACTAATACGGCTATGTCAACTGACGTTGAGCTCCGTCAGGATCGGGAAGGACCTCTCCGAGCTGTTCGATACCAAACTAGGTTTCAGACAAGACGACTCCCTATAGCGCGACTTTTGCAATCTCCTGCTGGAGAAAATAATTCGAGCTACATAACTTAATCGAGAAGGTACAATCTTTTATAAAAGTGTACAGCTGCTGGCTTATGCCGGTGATATTGATATCATCGGCCTCAACACCCGCGCCGTTAGTTCTGCTTTCTCCAGACTGGACAAGGAAGCAACACAAATGGGTCTGGCTGTGAACGAGGGCA